CATTCCCTGATGATCAACAGGCACACAACAAGAAGCTCTGGAAGTATAAAAATAATAATAAGGAAATGTATAATTTCTCTGCCCGGTGGCCGGCGTGCCCGGATTGTAAACGTACACTGAAGGTGGCGGCGGAGGAGTAGTCGAGCCGCCGCCTGCAAAAATGTTAAATGGCGGCGGAGGCTGAGACAGACGACGAGGCGGCGGCGGCATTGGTGCCGGAGAATCGAAGTAGTATGGCAGTTGTGGAGGCGGCTGGTGGTTTTCCGGTGGGGGCAGTTTGGGAGATGGCGGGGAGGAGCAGATGACGGGGCACGAGCCGCACTCGCTGATGCAGAGAGAGCCGGTCGATGGGATGTTATTGTTGTTTGTTTGGCCTTGAGATTGTGAAGTCGGTAGAAAGAAGAAGATGAATGTTAAGAGAAGAATGTATTTTGGTGCAAAGTTTGATGAATGTTTCATTTTTATATTTTGTTTTTTTGTATGGTTTTGTTTGGAGAGTGTGTGTGTGTGTGTGTATGTGGAAGTGGGCTCGTTTTGGGGTTTAGTGTGAATTTATAGAGATCTGGATACAGAGTTTGGTTTGGAATGTGGGCTTTCTTTAGTGTTGTTTATTTTTTTATTTTTTTTTTTTGGTACAGGGAACTTCCGGTTTCTGGATCTACAGGGGAACCGACTAATCCGAAATCGAGCCGGGTAGGACCACAAGGGCGGAAAAGCTCTCCCTCAAGAGTTTTAACACTGTTTATTTGTTTATATTATGTTGATTTTTTGCTAAAGTGTGTGTATATATATATAATGTATGAGGCTTTGTCTAACATAATTTGTGTTGTGGTTTGTTTTGTTTTGTCTTGAGCAAGAATTGGTGTCTGAGTAATTTATTCTTCCTTCTAAACTTGTACTCTGGTTTCAATTAATGGTCTGAAGAGAGCTACGAGACTGAATTAGATTTATATAATACGTATATTAACATGTATTTGAATTTTTACACATGAATATTAATTTTTTAACCATAAGATATTTTTTCCAACTTTATTATATGTGACATGAAGATGCTGGATGATACTTAGCTCGAGTATGGCTACTATTTTTATATGTTTCGAGCTTAAGCAAGTCGAGATCCGATCGTGTGTGATAAGATGCTCAGTCGAGCTATAATTAAGAACCTAAAGGAATAGCTCGAGCTGGATAAAGGACAGGTATACAATTTTATGATTACGATAAATATCATTAAATCCCCATAAGAATATGGGATTAACCTGATTTGGAGCCATAATACATACATGCATCATATCTTTGGATTAATTGAGTTGATAGTCAAAAGATTTACGCGGGGGAACAATCCCCGTGCTTTGCAGGTGATAAAAGTCCTCCACATTGTGCGGTTCGGGCTGCAGAAAAAAACCCGGTTCGTTTCAATCAGGTTGCCTTCCCTTTCTCTCAATTATATATTGACATGAAAAAATAAAAATGATCACTTTTTTAAAAATTATCAAAAGGCTTGCCTCTACACACTAAGAAGTCACGCGCATGTAAAGATCAAGTCACAGACGAGTGTTTCTAGCTTTTTTGACTTTAATCTACAAAGTAGGATTATTAGTATTAAAAAGCCATTTATACAAATTTGTGAACTCTTGAGGATTGTGCTTTTCTGTAAGCACAATCCATTAGTCACTTTTTTGGTTGTGCTTTTCCCTGGACACAATCTATCTCCGCTTTGTAATAATTGATGAAAATTAATTAATTAATTAAATTGCTTTCGGTTTGAGTGAGATACATACCACTGTACTGTACCTTTCTTATGGGGGAGGACTTATGGACTTTTTTTTGCCTTTTGGTCTCCAATCCCAAGCAAAGAATTTTAACTTCACATATGTGTACGAGTATTAGAACAATTGATAAGCTGTACTTACAACATTTTTTTAAAGAAAAGTGTAGGTTTCGGACAAGTTAAGAGTTGAATAAATTTTTTGGTATGTGTAAAATCATTTTGTTTACTTGTACAAGTTAATGTGAAAAGGAGAATGAGAGAAAACACCATGGGCCTCCTTGCCTATGGAAGGCAATTGAAGCTAGGCATTATTAATTAGTTAATTCACCTCAATTCTTAGAAAATTGAGGTGAATTATTGCTAGAGAGATGAAGTTGCACTAATATTCCACAAGTATTAAACACCTTGCAAGACACAAGCCAAATGAAGTCCATGGACCGATGTTTTATAGTCATGGGACTCCATTTTATAGTCATGGGACTCCAACTAGGTCGAATCGTTCCACAAAACCAAACCTATCATGAACTATGTTAATTCAACACATAAAAGTCATCACAAAAATACCATGATTTTCTGGCTCACAAATTACCACTCGCACTCATCAGCAGAGCAAGTAATGATATCACAATACAATGCCAAAGTAAAACAAAACAAACTATTGCTTATAGCTCGTTCCCCAAGCAAAATGCTCGAGTAATGCCCAAAAAGAAGACCATAAAATTATCAAGATCAAAATATATGCTGGGGTAATGCACCCGTTTAAGATTACACACTGGACAGCTCGAAAACCCAACAAAGTAGAACAAACACCATAAATATCAAGGCAACCCAAACTCTTGACGCACCAACTACAAATCACTCAATACCGACCAGACAACCAGTAAACAAACCAAAACACACACAAACAAAGAAAGGTTTTATGTAGAACTCGCTGAGACAACCCATATTTCAACCCCTTTGTCAACATAAAGAAGAGTAAGATAACCGAAATCCTCACTCCTTAGCATCTGGTTTCTCGAGTTTTTCTTTCTCGTCCTCCTTTTTCTCACTTGAAGCTGAAGATTCATCCTTGGACTCTGGTTTCTCCTCCTTGTCATTTCCTCCAACACTCAATTTCTCGATAAGACCAGCAGCAGTGGTACCTTCTTCACTGTCTCCACTGTCCTTTGCTTGAGATTCAGTGATCTCTTCAATCTTATCTTTGAAAGATTTGCAATCTAGAAAAAAAAGGATAAAACAAAGAGTAACATTAATAAAGATGCACTGCATGACTTTGCCAGAAAGTACAAACGCCAAACTGATCAAATATTAACGGTCATTGTAATCTTACGAAAATGAATTAGCATGAAAGCCAATTACAAGCTTGAATTTACTCTATGAAATGGACATTTGCTGCTAAATTATTAGTGAAGCGACTATCATAACAGCTAATTGAAGTGGCAAATGTTCCACCCTTTCAGCTACAGTACAGATTTCACAAATCATGAACTAACTTCATAATGTACAGACTGGCTAAGTATATATTACAGACATTACTTAACAATAAGAAATGTTCAAAATATGATTCACATGAGTATGCATACTCGACCAAATTCCAAATATAAATTCAATGCAACAGAAAAAAATAAATAAATAAATAAATAAAGGATCAGGATTCGCCATTAGTACACAAATTATAATGGAGATTAAAACAGAGTCACGTTACAAAACTAACTTACTTTCGACTGATGGAAAACGGATACAGAAAGTCTCCTGCTTTAGCTCCCCATCAGCAAAATCAGCAGCATGCCACACACAAGACTTGTCGTTACCTTGATGCTCTTGCAGCGTCAATGTGGGCAGGACTGCATTTACAAATTCAATTTTCAGTCTTAATTAACAAGATATCAAACATAATTCAATTTTATCAACAACAAATATGCTGATACTCACACGGATATACATACATCCGGAGGTACATAATATTAATCAGTACAACAACGCTCTTGGTGTAGGCTCTATATACTTACCGAGATGATTGGCGCAGATCTTAAGAGTCTTGTTCTGCCTCATGAGAAGCCTAACTTTGCCGGTCTTCTTGTGCTTTAATAACTTGACAGTGCCAACTCCCCTCTCTTTCCATTGACTACCTTCCTTGTCAAATCTATACAACTTCGCTTTCCTATTAACAAACAATAAGCAATTCACTGAAAACACTTGTCATGACAAACCAAAACTACACAACACATCTAAAGTTCTGTAACTACTTCAGAAGATAGCATATTCAACTTAACCAGCAATGATAATAATCTTTATAAGGTTCAAACACGAATCATAAAATCATCGGCTTTTCTTAACTGAATCCATTCAATTCTCACATCTCCTGAACATAACAAAATCCCAACAACAACATTACATCACATTTAATACACATTGCTTACAAGGCACCTGTTCTAGTGATACGCAAAAACAAACAAATCAAGATCAATCGCATCAACATACAGTCAAAACCCTGATTCTAGCTTACAGCCATCAGATGAATCAAAATACTCACAATAAACAATTCACTAACACTGGTCATGAAAAAACATAACTACACAACACATCTTACTCTCTAACTACTACAAGATAACATATTCAACTTAACCAGCAAAGATAATAATTATTAAAAGGTTCAAACACGAATCATCAGATCACCCGCTTCTCTTAACTGAATCCATTCAATTCTCAAATATCCTGAACATAATAAAATCTCATCAACAACATTACATCAAATTTAACGCACACTGCTTATAAGGCACCAGTTCTAGTGATACGAAAAAACAAATAAATAAAAATCAATCGCATCAACATACAGTCAAAATCCTGATACAATCTTACAGCCACCACATGAATTAAAATACTCACAAATCAAGCAGCACATCCTCATTTTCCTCGCCGGTGGCAACGGCGACTTCATGGAGCTTGACGATCGGGGCAATCTGGGCCCCGGTGTCCTCATCTTCAGCAGCTGGTTTGGAGTCATCCTCCTCTTCTTCCTCTTTCTTCAAGGCGGTGGGCTCGGTCGTGGACGCCATAACTGTAAAGCGGCGGACGGAGGCGTGTAGAGAGAGAAAGTGAGATCTGGCGTAACGTTAGGTTTAGCACTGATGACTGATGATGAGTGATGAAATTTAAGCCGGACCTTTTCTCATTTATAAAATTTTTTTGTGAGCCCAAAGGATACACTTTGGGGTTTAGTGGGCTGGGCTTGTTAATTTTGGAGTTCGAAACCGGTTAGGTCGGTGTGATTTTCCGTGACCCAATTGAAGCACCAACTACGGTGAACAACTTGTTAGGGGAGATCAATTTTTTCTTTTTTTAACCAGACATCATCGCACATTTGTCAATGGTGGGTGAGTCTTGCAACAAAAATTTTTGCATTCACAATGACTCGAACCCGAGACTTTGCTTAAACGACATCAAATTGTTTACCATTGAGTCAACCATTGATTGTGAGATCAAATATTTTAGATTAAAACGAAACATAACTAAAAATAATATTGTATCGAATTCGTAAAAAATATAGGAGTTTTTTCAATTTAGATCTTATATTATGAGTCAACTTTCAATCCTTAGTCTAAATAATAAATCGCGTTTATTTGAGACGCAAAATTAAAACTATCAATTTAAGATTTATTTAATCAGTTTGAGCCAATCATCAGTCACTAATATTGTTATTGAGTCATCGTATGAGACGAATTGTGAAGTCATAGGCACTTATCATAAATTGTGGATTGACACGTATCTTACAATAAATGCACTTTAAATATGTGTTACTACATTAAGTAGTGAATGACTCCATAAAAAAAAATCATATGATGAATTCATAGAATTTGCGTATATTTCTGTAAACCATTGATTCAAGTCTAAAAGTTATTCAAAATTGTAAATTTAAGACTCTAAATAAAATTGAAAAAGAGATGGAATAATATAATTGCAGTCTTGATGCATAATTCATATTAGTTTGATTTTTTATTTTTATTAATATTTTTTTCAATATTCTTATAAATAAATTGGTGTATTTTAATGCCTTTTTACATATATTTCGACTTTTTTTTATTATTATTTATTTATTTATTTATTTATTTTTTTACAATCTTTAGAAGCAAGTGATAATTTCAAATAATCTATATCTATATATATATAAAAAAAAGATTTACAATTTTTTAAAAATAGCAGGTCAAATTTTGGTCAAAATCATTTTGCATTAATTACATTCCTATTCATAGTAATTTATTTATATTTTTTTTAATAAAAAAGGCAGCATTAAATGCTACCTATTAATTAAAGATTTTGTTATTTTGGTTTTCAACAAAACCATGAATGTTGCCTATTATTTGGGGTTGATGTTGTTTTATTTTTAAAAATCATGTTTAATAAAAGAAATAACTATATATTACCCTAAATTGCTAGATAATTAAATTATCTTGCTTTGCATCTTTATTTGTTTAATAAATTAATTAGTGCTGATTTAATACTCAAATAGTCAAACTTTGTTTTTATTTCAAATCAAGAAATAAATATGTATAACCGATAAACGAAAAAGAATTAAATATGTATAGATAATATATTAATTATTTTACAAGTTAGCCCTAACGTGTTCATATTTAATGTTATGTATAACGATCATTGAAAGATGTAGAAAATATATTATAACACTATTGTTTTTTTTATAGATTTAACGCTGATTGAAAGAGGTGTAAAATATACAAGTGAAAAATATATGACAACTCGATTATTTTTAGACTTAAACGAACAGAGCCTGTGAAAATAATTCATTTATATCTATGTTTCGTGCATTGCACGGGGTATGTACTAGTTGATAAGATTTAAAAATTAACAAATGTTATCTTTCTTTTTCACGATTAAACACATAAAACTCATAAAATATATATAAAATAATTATTAATGAAGTTAGAAAAATATGCATGTTTGCCATCCAATCAGAAGCCGATCAATTTGATTAGATGAAAAGCTGAAAAACACGAGACAAAAAATGGATTAAATTCAGCCTCCGCCGAGAGAGCGACATTCACCAAGGAAAGTTAGCTGCCAAACTTCTTCGAATCGGCGCCATCAAAACTTGTCATCCTTAACCAGAAGAGAGAGAAAACGATAGAGGGAGGCCCGTAAAGGAAAAACCCAACCTTGTTTTCAGCTCAGCAGTCGAGAGTGAGAGTCAACGCATTCCACTGCCTTGGTTAAAATTTCTGTAAGATTCTGCAAATTGGTATTTGTTGTATGCTTGTGTATTTTTCATTTCATTATGAATCTGGGTTCCACGATTGAAGGGTTATGACTGTGTGGTTTTAATCATTTGCCGAATGTTGGGTCTTTGGGCAAATTCTATGTTGTTGTTGTTTTTTTTGTTGCCTTAATTTCCCATTTTTGAAGATTCAAGAGTCAATCATGTAGATGTAGAGCAACAATTTGATTTTGTTTGCTACGTAGTCATTCGATTAACGAATCCTCAGCCCATACCAAGTTAGATGCTAATTTGATTTCCATTTCAGATCTCACTTGCAGCTAGTCCGAGGTTTTACAGCATGTCGTCCAAAGTTGAATCTACAGCACGTGAAGATGAAGATTTAAGCTGCGGGCTTTTATTGCGCGACATTGAAGAGATTAGCAAAGCTCTGTATCTGCACCAAGCCCCACCACATAAGCCATTTAATTCGTCTCATGAATGTGGTACAAGTATCTCGGCCAAAACTGGCGTATTGGTACCTAAGCCATGTGTCCCCATTGAAAGTTCGTCGAACAAGGACAAGAAAACTTCGTTATGGAAATGGAAGCCCCTTAAGGCTCTGGCCAACATCCGTAACAATCGGTTTAACTGCTGTTTCTTTCTGCACGTTCATGCCGTGGAGGGCTTGCCGCCAAATTTTGATGACCTCAGCCTGTGCGTGATTTGGACCCGGAAAAATGACTCGTCGAGAACTCGGCCCGCCAGGGCCTGCTCAGGCATGGCCGAGTTCGAGGAGACACTCATGCACAGGTGTACGATCTATGGCAGCAGAAGCGGGCCCGGTGGGTCCGTGAAGTACAAGCCCAAGATCTTTTCACTAGGTGTTGACGTGGTAGGCCCCACGGAGCTCAATCTCGGTAACCACTGGATTGACCTAAGCAGATTGCTTCCGATTACAGTGGAGGCATTAGAGGGTGATAAGGGTTGCTCGGGGCAGTGGACCACTAGCTTTAAGCTCACGGGCGAAGCCAAAGGGGCAATTTTGAATGTTAGTTTTGGGTTTTCTGTATTGGGCGGTAACTCATTCGAGCCGGGTTATTTTGTTAAAGTTCCTGATATTGGTGGACGGAATAATCATTTCGCTGAATTTGATAAAGAGTCGGAGCTTTCGCACTCGGTTACTTTATTGTACCAAAAACTAGACAAGAAAAAGATGGGTTGCATGATTGATTTTGATCACTCGCGTGATTCTGAGTTTAGTGAAACCATTTCTTTTGACGTGATCGAGCAGGGAATAGAAATATCCAAGGAAGATAAGATGGAGTTAGAGAAATGTGTCAACCAGGAGTTCGATAATACCCTTATAGAAACCATTAATGTGTCTGATATTTTTTATGATGAGGAGACTGCTTTTGACGAGTGTGTGAAATCTAACTCGAACCTTGCTGACAATCACGAGGAGCAAGAATATGTTAAAGAGCCAGCTTTTGAAGAATCTTGCACGTCTCTCTATGACATGCTGCCTTCTAAATCACTGATCAACTTGGACGATGTTTCGGAATTGATCGAAAATGATTTTCTTGACATGTTGAACATTGACCAGAGTCAAGATGGCGAGTGCCCAGATGACTTTGACCAGTCATTTACCACTCAACCCGTTAAAAACGAACACAATACGGTGAATGGATCATCATTGAGGACCAGAAGAGATGCTAAAGTGCTCGAGAATTTGGAAACCGAAGCTTTGATGCATGAATGGGGTCTAAGCGAGACGGCCTTTCTGAATTCTCCGCACATTAATTCCGGTGGATTTGGAAGTCCAATCTATATTCCTGCAGAGGAGCCTTTAAAGTTACCTCCAATTGAAGATGGTGTGGGCTCCATGGTTAGGACGAGGGATGGCGGTTATCTGAGATCAATGAATCCTCTGATTTTTGCAAATGCAAATAATGGTGCCAGATTAATTGTTCAAGTTTCTGCTCCAGTTGTTTTACCCCCAGAAATGGGATTTACAGTGATGGAAATATTACAGTGCTGGGCATCTGGAGGATATGAGAAGATGTGTATTCAGGTGAATGAGTTGATGCCTTTGGAAGATGTCACGGGGAAGACAATACGGGAGGTTTTGTCGGAAGAAGAATCGGGATCAGGTGTTCTTAATAGGTATGCTATTTCTGGTGTTTTGGTTGTTTGATGGCACTTTCTCTCAGTTAAGAAATAGTTGCAAGAATCATGGGAGCAACTTTAAATTCACAAAAACAACCCGTGTGGTTTCATTCCGTGTCATATGTCCCGGGGGGTTAACTATAATATGTTTAACGTTATAAGATTACAAATTTTGCAATGTATGTTTTGTTTTTGTTTTATTTGTTTTTTGAAAGTGCCATCAAACAACCAAAACACCAGAAATAGCATACCTATTAAGAAAAGTTGCAAGAATCATGGGAGCAACTTTAAATTCACAAAAACAACCCGTGTGGTTTCATTCCGTGTCATGTCCCGGGGGGTTAACTATAATATGTTTAACGTTATAAGTTTACAAATTTTGCAATGTATGTTTTGTTTTTGTTTTATTTGTTTTTTGGTAATGAAGGGGGTAAAGCTTA